ACTGAGGCTGCTCTACCAGAGCTGTGCAGTAATACAGAAATCAGAGGAGCTGTAATCACTGACACTGCCCCGTAAAGAAAGCTTACAGCATTTATCCATCTTAAGGGATGTGCTGTCACTCACATACCAGTGTTATACTCTGTGTCTTGTGCTGCATATATGAATACAAGACAGTAGGTATTTTTATTAATTTGTAGAAACTTCCAGAGAAATGCAGCCTCCAAAGCCCTAGAATATGTCACTTAGGTCTTTATGTACATGCTGCTCTACAGAAAGGCTTTTCTGCAGAGTGAAAGGGGGCTGTAGGTAGAACGACTGCTGGGAATCAGCTTACAAAAAATTCAACGGTTTCTAATACCTGTGTTTGCCTCCAGTTAATACCATTAGTCATGTTCTCAAGTCACAACTGAAATACACCCAGATACTATGGAGATGAGCCTAAGAACCAATTGGAATATTCCAGATAAAACCTGATCCCCTAAATGATGATACATCTGAATAATTTGGGATGCAACCAGCAAGAAAAGTTTCAGTGAATATCACGGGCCCATTTCTCCTTTACATCCAAATCTTATTTCTATACTGTACGATAGTATAAAGAAGACTTAACGTAACTATTTAAATATAACCCATTTCTATTCAAAGAACCCTTCATCTTGCTGGAGTTTATGGGTCTCAGACACAATTAAATCTCCCCTGTGAGCAAAGTTACACAGATGTGGAAATGTATGCGGGATCAGGTCTTTGCAGATGACATTTCACGTGAACCTTTACTGCTGATCTGGCACCAGAAAAGTGGAAGTGATGCTTTTAGAAGCAATTCTCTGTAGAGATCCATTACTGACATTGCTTAAAACCCTCTCATTTTGATTTTAAAGCTTTTTCACTATTATATGGCTGCGGTGACTATTTCTAACACTGCCTTTTTTATGATTAGTGTGTGCTTATTATTTTAGTATTTTCTATTTTTATTTTTATCTTAAACAGTGAATCACTGCTTCATTGGAACAATGATTTTCTTTCTGTAATTGATGGCTAAAATACTGGCCAGCACTGAGAATTAAGACAAGTGTGAAATCTGTTGCTTCTAACATTAAAAACTGATATTCCAAGTATTTCCTTTCTGATTTCTGTGCTGGCAAGAGCTCCTATGACTTACAGAGTACAAGAATGGCTCTAGCTCAAGGCAAGGTGAAAAAGGCAGTAGAATACATTTAAGTGTATCTAGGTGCTTGTGCACATCCACACAAAGAAAACAAGCCAGACCTGCACAAACACAATGATTGGAAGAGGGCAGAGGGATTTAAAGAAAAAAGTACCAGTACGAGCAAAACCAAGGGAGGAATAACTACCTGAATCACAAAACAGAGCATCCAGCCTCAAAGATGCTAATTCAGGTCCTGAGGGATCTAATCAACCTCTTTGTTGAAGTAAAGATAAAACTTTTTGACAGCAAACGCTTTCTGATAAAATGGAATTTTCAATTACCCTGTGAAACATCTGGTCCACGCTGCCATTTCCAGGGAAAACCACCACCACAGTCTGCAGGGCTGGGGAACATTTCCCGCTGAGTTCTCCCCGCGTTGCTGGGAGGAACAGGTGTCAGAGCCCCATGGCAGCGCTCCCGCCAGCACACACGGCTTCAGCTCCTCCTGGAAACCAGGCCTTCCTCCAGGGCTGCACTTGGAGCCATGGCTACACCAGGACGTGGAGAAAATCCACCCCATCTTGAGGTGAAACATGCCAAGACACGAGGGGGGACCCCAGGATTTAACCCCATCCTCCAGCAGACTTCTCCAGCCATCCCAAAACACCGAGGAGATCCAACGGCCGCTTGAAAACACCCCTCTCTCAAAGAAATCCGCCTGCAAGTTCAGCCCAGGCCGTCGTTAGGAAGAGAGCAGCACATATAAACTTCCAGCAGCGCTTAACACCTCCACAAATAAACAAACAATTAACCGGCAGCCAGGCAATCCGGAAGGTGGAACGGCACCAGCGCCCGCCTTCCTCTGCATCCCATTCGGTGTCAATTAGCAAGGGAAGGAAAACAATCCTGGGCTATAATGAACTCCAAATTGGGCACATATTAGAGCAATTAAAGCCATCTTTTCATCAGATGAATTTATAATCAATAATTAAGATCCTGAGGTAAAGAGGGACTGGGCAGAAGTCCTGCTCCCAAAATACGCGACGTGGCTGAGCTCCAGGCAGTTTTGCTGATGACCTGCTGCTACCCACTAAAGCTCAACGGTCTCCATGCTATGGTCTGGCATTTTTCTGGAAATCTAAGTCATTTCCAAAGGAGGAGAAAGGGCTCCTGCCAGCGGGACTGGCAGGTGGTGTCACTCCCACCCTAGAGTGGCACCAGCAAAGCGAAACCAGGGCTCTCACACCCAAGCACTCACCACTGGTGCCACCGGTTTCAGAAGACAAAGGAGCTCACACCCATCCAAGCCCACCTCCCTCTGCAGGAAATGCAGCATCCCAGTGGGCAAAGGCTGGCCAGAGAGGTCCACACTGACCACCCTGAGCCACCACAGAGGGATCATCCCCTGCTACCCAGCTACCAGGACTCCTGCCAACCAGCCTTGGCAGATCCGGGGTTACCCACCGGGCAGATAAAGACTCACAAATTATTGGGACTCAGGTGAGGGCTGGCCACTCAGGAAGGACTCGTGGTGCCACAAGCTGAGGTCCGTGCCCAGCAGAGGCTGGCCTCAGGGGAACCACAGCAGAGATCATTACCATCAATGTGCAAACCCCACCCCATTTCTCTGGGATTACACGAGATGCAGTTTGGGCAGGGACAACAAGCAAAAGCAGAGCATGGGTACATGAGATGCCATGCTGCTCTTCAGACAAGAACTGTGTGTTTAGAGCAGTAGTCAGCCAATAGTCCTGCACATCCTTGTCAATGAATTTCTTGTGTTTCCTCCCCATCCTGCCACTCTGCCCCAAAATCAGGTAAAAATTACCAAGCCCAAACCACTGCTTTAATCATGTGGGAACCGCTGTTATCACCATCATTTCAGCTTCTTGATTTTCCTGATTATTTTCTGCAGTTCCTGTTTGAGAAATCAGCTCAGGCAACACTCTCTTTAACCTTTTTTTCAGCTTCTGTGACAGTAACCACTCACTCCCCCGCCTGCACTGCTCCTCTCATCGCTCCACCAGCACCCTGACCACCTCACAGGGTTACCCCGAGCTCTTCCTCACGAGGGTCCCACAGGACAAGAGAGCTGGCTGCAGCACACCTGCCTGCAGGTGCAGCACACCTGCCTGCAGGTGCAGCACCAGCACGCTGCTTCCCTCCCAAAAACAAACCAGAGCCAGGAGCACCAAGCCCCTTGGCCACTGCAGGATCAGGAGACAGACAGGTTGCCTTCAGAAGTCACCTTCTGGAACACACCTGATTTTGGGGTGTGTTTTACATGCAGTGAGGAGCTCATGTGGACTGAACAATTTAACTTCCACCTGACTCGTCCCATGAGCTCTGCCTCCAACTCAGCCTCTCTAACTTACTTGCATTGTTATCAGAGCCAGCACACAGACTTATCAGAAATGTAATCCCTGTAAAACTCTATCTGCAGCCCATTGAGATTGGGTTTTGTGCTGAAGAAATGTGACAAAAAATTAACAGATGTTGCTCAGACCATTCACCAGGATGGGAATCAATTATGAACATTTTTGCTTCTACAGTCATCCCTTACTACAAATGCATCTTAGGAAACCCTCTCCTGATCGAAATGAAAAAGCATTTCTTTGTAATAGAAGAATAATAAATGATAGCTATCAGCCTGCATTCTCTGACACGGTGCTGGTCCGCAGAGAATTAAACTGCCACTGTACAGTTATATAAATGTTTAATTTTTTTCATCTTTGGCCACAGTAGGGTTGTCTGGAAATACATTATCGCTGCAGATGCCATCCCTCTCCAATTAGTGTGGCTGGCAGCGTGGAATGTGTAGGTGACCTCTGTGTTCCCCTCCTTGTGGAGTCTCACAGGGTTAACTATGGCCATTTAACAGACTCTATCGAGAATTAATACAGAGATCAGATTCTCTCCAGAAAAATCCCACACTCTGTGGCGCAGATGGCAAGAACTCTCTCTCCCCCGTTTGACTCTTCTATGACAGCAAAACAAAGGCTTTTAATGATGTTTACCATGAATTGAATTAAACAGCTGAAGACCAGTTCATAATCACAGCATTTTGTTTTCATATCCTTAAGTCTTTTAGCAGTGGGGTTTCCAGTGGAGCCTCAGCTACAGCTTATCTCAAGATATAGCCAAGTGCCCCGAGGCTCCCCGCGCCGGAGCACCAAACCGCACTCAGGCTTCCTAATTGAAAAAGACAGGATGTTTGCATAGGATGTTTGCATCCCTCAGACATTAAAAGCGACATTCATGGCCAAGTACAAACGACACTCAGGCTCAGTTGAACTCCCCTGACTTCCTTCCTCTAGCTAACACCAGTCTGATTTCAGAGCAGGACCTCATCCCTGCACGTGGGGACGGTAAGAGCTGAAAGCTGCCACCTGTGCAGGTGAAAAGATGCAAACCCTCACCCACCAGCCTGAGCTGTGGGACACCTGACTAATTGTCTACGTGTTCTGCCGACCTTTGGGAAAGTTGAGAGCTCCAGGGCTGGGACAGGAGCGCTGGGAAGGGCACACACCATCGGTGCTCGGGAGGGGAGGTGGGCAGGGACCAGCCCTGGGCACAGCACCCCTAATTCCAGCCCTAATCCCAACTCCAGCGCTCACTCAGGCAGATGCTCAGGGCCTTGGGTTTTCTGCCTGTGCATAGAGGATAATCCCAGCTGTTCCCTTACCCCACAGGTGTGGTGTGAAGATTAATTTACACTTCCCCAGCACTCTGCACGGCGCTATCCCCAGCGGGCACTAAGCATCCTCACTGCACACCCCCAGCAGGGCAGCAGCAGAGCCCCATTGGGAGTGTGGGGGGCAGTGGGCACCCCCAGGGCACAGCAGTGGCTCACCTTGCTCGGGGCCCTGGGAGCCCATGGAGGGGACGCTGGTGTTGAGCACGTCGTTGACGGCCGTGTCGCAGTAGAGGCCCCGCTGCACGTCGTGCTCGCTGTCCGTCTGGTCGCTCTCCTCATGGCCACTGTCCTTCAGACTGTTCCCCTCCAAGTCCTTGAACGTGGAGCTGCTGGGGAAACACAGCTGTCACATACTGGGTGGGACAAGGTGACACCTTGCCCCCAGCACAGCGCTGCAGCGAGACCTTGGGGTGGGAGTTCCCTGCCCTCCACGGCAGCCAGGGGTACCCACAGAGAGTGGGGAACACCCCTCTGAGCCCCAAAACACAGCAGGCTGCTCCTGCCCCTGGTGTGGGGTCAATCTGTGGGTGCCCTCAGGCTGCCCTAGGTCTTACAGAAGCTCAGAGTGAAGCAGAGTTTGAAATAAAATTTAAAAAATATACATTAAATGAGCTGTTTCCACATCTTGGCTCTCCCGAGTTGTACTACCTCATATTGAAGTTACACAAGATCTAAAGCCCAGTTTTTTAGGTTATAAGCCAAATCCTAATCACTTAAAGCTTAAAAACAAAAGTCTTCCCGGAAACAGGAATGTCTTTTAATCATGATGATGCATTTTTATTTTTAAAAATAAACCAGCGATTCTGGGTCCAAGTTCATGCAGCTTTAAGGAAATCTGATACACAGCCAAACATCCTTGACAGCCTCTGCAAGGATGTCCAAGGACTGAGCTGCTCCCAGATTTCCCCCAGGAGCTGAGCAGCCCCAGCATGGAAGGCAGCCCCAGGCCAGAGGGATGCAAGAAGGGCAGCTCCTATGCAGACAGGATGAGAGAGCTGGGATTGCTCATCCTGGACCATGTTCTGGGAAGACCTTAGAGCCCCTTCCAGTTCCTAAAGGGAACTTACAAAAAGGAGTAACTTTTTACAAGTGCAAATAGTGATAGGACATACAAAAAAGAGGGAGTGACTTTTTACACAGGCAGAGAGTGATTGGACAAGGAGAAATGGTTTTAAACTGGAAGAAAAGAGTTGAGATTTAGATATTAGAAAGCAATTCTTCCCTGTGAGAGTGGTGAGACACTGGCACAGGGTGCCCAGAGCATCTGTGGCTGCCCCTGGATCCCTGGCAGTGCCCAAGGCCAGGTTGGACAGGGCTTGGAGCAGCCTGGGACAGTGGAAGGTGTCCCTGCCATGGCAGGGGATGGCATGGGGGTGATCTCTAAGGTCCCTTCCAGCCCACCCCATTCTGTGATTCTCTGAAGAGCTGCATTTCTGGCTGCACTGGGACCCAGCCCCCTGAGAGGGGCCGTGCCCCAGGACCCTGCAGTGCTGTGAGCAGCAGGGACACCCTGAGACACACCTGGCCCAGGTGGCACAGCCTTCAGGGCGTCCCTGGGGACACCCACCCTGTGCTCCTTCCACTCCCAGCCTTGGCACAGGAAAACTGCACTCACTGGGAGGATCCACCTGCACCCACTTCCCCAAAGTTTCTCACTGGCTGGTTTGGTGTGAAACGTCAGTGACAGACACGGCCTGGGCTTCAAAGCCCCAAAGAGCTGGAGATTTTCATTACTTTGAAAAGCCCTTTTGTGTCTCCACGGAAACCAAGCAGACCACCTACCATCTGATGCTCTGCAAAAGCACACGAGGGGGGAGCTCTGAAATACATATAATAAATTGGTAAACCTTCAAACATTACCTTTTAAATAAAGATGTCCCTATTGAAGCCGCTGACTTTGATTCCAGCTGACATCAAAGATTTTTAAGTTAAGAAAGCACTACAAATCTACAATTCATTTGTGTGTGTGTGTGCAGATGAGCGAGAGAGGCAAGCAGACAACACAGGAAAAGTACAAATAGATTAATTAAGTGCTGGATTTGAGAAGATTCACTCACCAAAGATAGCAGAGATACAGCATCTTCATAAAGGCAAAGGATGAAAATGATGCCACAGTATGTTACAGAAAATATTTTTTGTTCTCAGATGTCTGCACAGCATTCCTGGCACCCGTTGTACTTAAGATACAAGACAAAGGTAGAAAGCCAGGGGAGCCGCTGTCCTACACGGAGCTGCTGCTCGTAATGCAAGCCGTGTTACAAGGCATTTATCTTCCCTGCAGTGAGCCAGACCGTAATGCAGCAGCCACACCACACGTTTCCACGGCTGACACTTCTCTAAAGGATGGGCAGGTCTGGGGGAATCGGCAGCAGCAGCATTTCCCAAACAATACAGCCTCTGAGCAAGCCCCGCTGCGGCAGGCTGGAGCGCTGCTTGCCTTTATCTTAGGTGTGAACGAGGAAAGATTAATAGATTTGGGGTTTTTTCAGTGTGCCTGAAGACTCTCTGGCGAGGAGCAGCGTGGCACAGGCCAGTCAACTCTCCCAGTCACATTAGCATGGTTAAACACCAGGAGCCACGCAGGCAAATACACCTGCTGAACCCGCGCGGCTCCAACAATGCGCTCGCAGCTCCCTCACTGCTCAGCTTTTTGAGATGTAAACAAATGGGATCTCAGCCAGGCAGATAATTGGATATTTTTACTGCTCAGATCAGATCTCAACAGTTCAGGGTTGGCTTCTGCTGTCTGTGAAACCCTTGGTTCAGTGATGGCTTCTGCAGAGCCGCCGAGCGCAGCCCCGCTGGGCACGGGCACGGATTGCTCCCCACACCTCGGCCAGGACATGGGGAGAGGAGGGAGATGGGCAAGGAGCTGCTGGGCCCATCCTGCACCCCAATCCTCATCCTCCTGCTGAGGAGCACTGATGGTGCTGTGTGAGTGCCCTTTCCAGCCTCCTGCTGCTGGGGTGATGCTCAGAGCTGAACCCCTCAGCCCAGGGGGTTCAGCTGGGTCACCCCGACCTGAAATTCCCAGAGACATTCCCTCACCACTGCTAGGCTCTGAGGAGAGCAGTACTCACCCCAAAGGGTTCAGTTTCCCCAGGGGTAACTGCCAGGTTGCAGCTGAACTGATTGTTTCCTCTCACACATGGAAAAGTCAGCCCAGCAAAGCGCTGTTTGCCTTGGTATTCAAACTAAAACAGCGAGCTAGAACTGTGAGCTGCATCCAACCAAATTACCTGCCCCCAAACAACTTGGCTTTTTAATTTTCCCTGCCTCACATGGCAGGGAGATCTCACCACCCAAATCTATCCTTTTATTCCTGTGCATTCAAATGGAATAAACTCCCAGAATTTGAAAGTTGTCAGGGTAACAGCACTCCACCTCACTTACTGCACCTTCCCAGAGAGAAGAATCCAAAGAGAAGGAAAAAAATATTTCCTTTATTGCAAACCACGAGCAATGGGATTTAATGGGAAGTAAGTACTGTTTTAAAATCAAATTATTACTCTTGAAAAGTTTTGCATATTAAAATAAGCAAGTTGTACATAACACAGTATGAAAGAACATTAAACCCTTGGGCTTTGGCTGGGCAAAGCCAAGCCCTTCAAGCAAGCCTACATACCTTTTTATTAAATGAGCTCTGCTGTTCACGTAGTTGGAATCAAAGGAGTAGTTTTCAGTCTGGAAGGAGGAAAAGAAAAGGGAGATGGTTACAAGTCTGATTTCTCCATGACTGGGAAGAGTCAGGTTTGCAGGGCCAGGATGAAACCCTGCGAGAGGGAAGGAGCATCCCACGATGGCACAGGCCCCTGCAAGCAGGACAGAGCCAGGCATGGAAAACTCCAGTACCTGTCAGTCTTTCCACCAACTTTCACCACAAAAAAAGGCTGGCTGGTGACCACAGAACAATTTGCAGAAAAGAAACAATGTGACTATGCTCTGTTACAAAACTAATTGCTATTAATTCCCTGATGGACTCAGTTCTGTGTGTGTCAATTTGACTGAAAGTTCAAAAGGTATTTTTCTTATTAGTGTATAATTAACATGTTAAAATATTTATTGCACAGATATGTAAATGCCAGCAAGGTAATCCCTTGCCAGAGAATTTAATGTGGGCACTTTTCTCTGTTTTACATCATTTCATTTGCAGAGACAGTGGGCTCTATTATTAATAAAAAAGCAAACAATGGGTGACATGCTTAAAAGTTGTAGGGGAGTAAAAGAAGGGGAGAAAAGTCAAAGGAGTTTTTATTTGCAAGCAAAACTAACTCGTTCTGCATTTGAAACACTGTCTTTTAACCTCAGATTACACAGGCCTGGCATTCTGGGGCCAGCAGCAGGTAAGGAACGAAGAGAAGCAACCAGAAGGTAGAGGAGAGAGCAGGGGGACAGCAGGAGACCAGGGTGGGAGCTGTGCAGAGGATGCAGTGGCAGGTGCATGGTAGGATGTGATGGGAGATGCTTGGTCAACCACAGTGGTGGAACACGGTGGGATCTGCACAGCCTGGCCAGGACCTTTCCTGCACTTCAGGGAGCCCTGAGGATGCAGGATCTTGTACAAGTCAGTCCCTCCAGTCCAGCTAAAGTCCCCCCAGATCCCAGCTGGGCTCCCAGCAGCCCCACCCCTGGCCCTGGGGATGCTCCCTGCCTCCTGAGCAGCAGCAGGAGCAGTCTCTGCTCTGCTCCCCTTCCTCCAGGACACAAATGAGGAACATCCACCTGCCCCACCACAGCCTTGCCCTGCCTTCCCTCTGCCACGCTGCTCCTCGCCTGTGGCTGTTCTCCTTCCCAAAGAGTCGCTCTGGGATACTATGGCCTGTTTTTATGGCAATTATGAACATGGTAAAAATAAATGCATGCATCTTTAATGTCTCAATAAATAAAGGCAAGCAGAGTCTGCTGCTAACGTCATCACAATGGCAGGATGCAGGGAGTGGGGCCACTGCAGCAGAGCCCAATGCGAAATCCAATCGTACCCCGGCAGAGGTTACAGGGCTCTGCCAAGATAATAAAGCAGAGGCAGCTCTGGTTTAGTGTAACCTTTTCTGGAATACAGCACAATATCTAATTTACCAAACAGGAACCTCCCAGAGAGAAACATGCGAGGAGCAGCGAGCCGGGGGAGTTGGCCTAGCACTCAGCACAGCTCAGTTATTACTTTCACACAGTAATTACTGCTGGAGAGTCACGCTGGAGATTTACTGCACAAACTACTGGTCCCTGCAGTTCCTGCATCCGTGCTCCTGCCTGTGATGCTTACAGCCCAGGAGCAAACAGACACACACACATTTTCAAAGCATATGATAGCCAAGAACCTAAATAGCACAGAAAATACCTGATGCTGTGCTCGTCCATCAGTGCCAGCACTGCCATCCCCAGCATTCACTGTCACCCCACAGCATTCCCCCCAGGCAGCCTCACAGCAGACCCCAGCCTGCAAATGAGCTGAGAGCAGCCAAGCAGTGCAGGGCAGAAGGGATGGGAGCCAGTTTGGCACAATCCTGACAGAGTGGGAGCCCCCTCTGTCACCCAGCCCTGGGAACAGCTCCCACAAGCCCAGAGCCCCAGCTGGCTCTGTCCCTGCATCCCAGCCCCACCAGCACACCCAGCAGCAGGGAGAGCCCCTGCACCCATCACCTCCACCCCTACATGTGCACAGTTCAGCCCTGGGACAACCAGGAGAGGAACAGCTGGCTGAGAGGATGCAGATAGCAAATTTCAATAGTTACAGGTACACTGAAGAGCTTTAAAACACTCTGGATGTCCACTCTGGATGGACACTGCATCACCAAGGCTTCAGGGGCCACAGAATACCCAAGGTCATCCACAGGGAAAGACTGCCACCAAAATCCCCAGGCTGAGGAGACACCACACGTGCTGCCATCAAACTGCCATGGCCAGAACACAACTGGTGCTAAATCCCCCTTGGACCAACATCCCTGGGAGCTTTGCTACTGATTTCAAACCAAAACCAGCGACCATATCCTGGCTCAACTCGTTCACTGATGAGGAAATTGCCGTGACTCGTGTTGGATGGACTGGAGCAATGTCCCTCCTGGGTACTGCCTGCTCCCTGTGTGCCCCTGCTCAGGATGCTCTGCAGCACTGATGGGACCCGGCATCCACACAGAACACCAGGGCTCCCGAGGGGCTGGGCACAGCATCTCTTCCCAGGCTGGGGATTTCCCCACCACTGGACACAGCACAAGTGATGATAATTACTCCCAGATTTCAGACAAAACAAGGAGTGACAGGGCCACAGGGATGGGAAATCCTCTTCCCTGGGTGTGCACCCTCAGAGGTGAGAGCTGGCACAAGGCTGGGCTGCCCATCCTTCCCACACTAGCACACTCCCTCCAGCCCAGTTTCTTTACTTAGCCATGGGATTATCTGTCAAGGTCATCTCCATGCAGAGCAGGGGATCACAATAGAAAAATGAAAAAAGAAACCAGAGTTTTCATGGAGAAGGGTTGCTTTACAGCTTGCATTATTCAATCAAAGTTCACTTGATTTAATTCTAGTTCATCCTGCAAGGTGCAACCACTTACAAACAGAGGCAAAATGATGGGAAAGGAGAGTGTCTTCAACATGTCAACATTTTAATTGGGAAAGGATCTGCTTCCTCTCTTAATGAGACCCAAAGAACAAAGTCAAAGCACAAAAAAGAGGGAGAAGGCAAGGCTGGCTGGCACCGATGAAAGTGTGCTCTTCATCAAGTGCATCACTGAGAGGCTGGCCCTCATCTTCTTCATTATTTTGGCAAAAGCAAATGAACTGTCACTTTCTCACTAATCAGCATCACTCCTGTAGAAATCAAAGGGGAGCCCAGCCCCAAGTCCAGCCTCTCCTTTCCATGTTCAGAGCCAGGCACAGCGAGGACCTCCCAGCCACGCTGCCAACCCTTTTCTCCTGCTCGCTGTAACTGAAGAAAGGATGCTCACACTCGTCATGATCAGCCCCACAGCCTCCGTGCCATGAATAAACAATCCATTCCAGACACTGGGAACGCTGAGTAACACCTTGCATGAAGCCTGTGCCCTCAGCCTGCGTTTCTCTTGAAGGAGAGACACCCTGCTGTCCTCCAGGCCCAGGATTTGCTTTCCAGATGCTGACGTGTTGGTGTCAATGCCATCAAAAAGAGCCCTGGCTTGGCATACAGCTTACCACTGCCTAGTTTGAAAAATGCTTTGAACCACTGCCTTAGCAACACAAACATAAATATAACAACAGACACACTCCGAATCGAGCAATCAGGAGGGAAATATTAAACTTTTTTTTTTCCCCTAGCGGTTGCTTTTGGTTGAGGACTGCCAATTCCATTAAATTAAAAATAAAATAAAGAAAAGATGTACAAACGTCAGTACAACTCTTCTTGACCTGGATATCGACAGGGTGACTTCCCCGACAGCAAAAGGTCTGTTAGCACCAGGGCACTGCTCTAACGACTGCTCACTCCCTGCCTCAGAAACAGAAATAAACCCTGGCGGATCCAAAGGCGGTTTAAGAGGAACTAAAGCAAGTGCCAGCAGAAAGGTCAGCGGGCTGCAGCAACTCCGGGCACCAGCAGCTCTGTGGAGTGCTGGAGAGGCAGAGGATGCTGGCTGGGGTCAGTGCCCAGCACAGGAGGGACGTGTCCTGGGCCATGCCAGCAGGCTGGGATCAGCACAGCCCTGTCCCTGCAGCCTGCGAGCCCCAGGACACGTCTGGCATCTGCTTCTTTAGCACTCTTCCCTCTTTTCAGCAATTTCAGATGTGGGCTATTTTTCAAACCAAACTCCACAGAGGTGAAAATCCAGCTTTCTCCACAGCATGTGGATCCAGGCTCTCGACAAAGGGTTTGGTTCCTCAGTCCACACATCAGCCCCCAGCCAAGTCCACGGTTGTCTGGAGCTGGGCCCATCTCTCCCGACCTGAAGTGACAGGCATCCATCCATCTGCCTCAGAAGACGGCTCCAAAGCATCTCAATGCAGGGGCTTTGTGCCCTTCTTCTCACTTCAGGGTGAAAACATTTCTGTCTTTCCACAAATTACTGTAAACCTGCTGCAACCTCCTGCCAAAGCATGTAGGGACTCTTCACAAAATCAGCTTCATAAAAATGACACATTTAGCACCACTTTTTCAGGGTTATCCCTTGAGCCTTTTTTCCCCCTATGTGCCTTGTTAATAAAGCTTGCATGTCACCCTTTATTATTAAAAAACAAAGCGGACCTTTCTCCAAGGCTGCAATGTGCATCTCTCCTTTTGGGTTTCACAAAATCCTCCAGAAACACGCGATGCTCCTCATCCTCTGCATCAAGCTGCACATCTCCACCCGGAGCACCAGCCTCCTGCCTTTCCCTCTGTGCTGCAGGCATCACTGGGAAACACAGAAATGGCAAATTGCTCCCAAAAATCCACTGGGCCTCCCTGGTGGGAAGGGTAGGGCTTGTAAGACCGCTTCTCCTGGTCCTTCTGTATCCTCAGTCCTGTTCTCCATGGGCCACTCAACCACAGGCTCCAGCATCTGCAATAGAACTGATGCTGCCTATTAGGAGATCTCACCAGCATTTAATTCTCATGGTTTGAATTATATTGTGGGTGATACAGAATTCATGCAAATTAAATAAGGACGCTCCAGCTGCACTTGGGAAACAGCGAAAATTTCAAAGTAGGGACCAGGTCAAATGAAGTACGCATCAGC